TCGGAAGAAAATATTTAAAGAATTTGCCAGCAGCACCCTTCTTTCCCTCCCTGGAGGAGAACAGCTCATTCTAACCTGCGGAGAAAATGGCAACATCACTGATTTGAACCACAACAAAAGTACAATGACAACAGAAGATGGCGATCAAAGCAAACTTGCGAAAGAATAAAAAAGCATAAAAAATATATCAATACATTTTTTATCTTTTTTTTTTGTTAAATTAACAACAAAACATGCCTCCTCCTAGGCACAGTTTACAGAGCTGCAGCACGATTTTACGTTTTAAATATACAAAGCAGTAACTTACAAAGTAACGTAATGAAACAAAAATGATAAAAGGGAATCCCCTAATTTTCTCAAATATAGCCTAGCCTAATACAAATCTAATATATCTGCGGTCTTGTTTTTTTTATTCAACATTAGTTAGTTGCACTAGGTATTTAACACCCTCATCAAGACCTCATCTGTGCCTCTCACCCTCTCCCCTTCCTCCCTGAGGAGGCCTTACACTTCGTTCGACCACAACAAAAAATAATAATAATAAAGGGAAACTCACTGGAGTCCTAATGCCACCTATATATAAATCATGATTAGGTGGCTCCTTTCCTGGCAGTGTAGTTAGATGACAGTCTTCTGGCCCATGGGCTTTGATTAGGTGACCATGAAATTGGGAAGCCAAGCACGGCGCACCATCTTAGATTCAAAAGGGCAACAGCAAGCTTCTCTTCAGAATCTTTAAAAAGTTGTACTATTCGTGATTCAGCTTCCGTGTCTTCAGCAAAGATGAAGTCATCCTCAAATTCTGCCTTTTCTGGAAAGCTGCCATCTTCTTCACATATCATGCGCATACTCAAAACCTGCAGCGCTTCCATGGCCGTGCTGTGAAAACCACTGTTGGCATATGCAGAGAAAACAAAATGGCAGGTCGCTGGATCCGGCTGGACTTTTTCTTGGTGCATCCACTCAACGACAAATTCAACTACCTCAATCACTTCCTGGCATTTATTGCAGGGGAGAAGAAAAATATATATTACTATCGAATAATGCAACCACAATTTTTGTGGTTGATCAAATTATAATCATGTATATCGAGAACCATGCTGCTCTTTTGATCTTACCTTTTCACAGGCTTTTTCAAGAATGGTATTAAATAGCAAGGTATCAAGTTCATTGCGTTCTGAACTGGCTTGATCCAAAAGATTCAATGCTTCCTCAATGTCATCATCTTCCAACAGAATCTGGAACAAAACAAGATTCAACATCTTCCTCAAAGTCATCATCATTAATTAAATTACTTGTGTTTTCAGAGAAGACAAAAAGGTAACTTTCCTTTTGTTTTTCTTTTTTCGTTTTTAAAAAATGAACTCACTAATTGTCTTCATTTAAATATCTTTATAAACATCTGACCTTTCCATAAATGAAACTTACGAGGACAACAAAAAATTCTCTTTTTGTAAGAGTTCTTATTTCATCCAAAAATGTGGTCACGCAATGGGCTATCGAAGAATTTCTATAGCTTATCTATTCAACTTGAAATGGAAGTACATTCTCAGACCAAAAACAAAAGAAAAGAAATTAAGTGCATTCATATATTGCAAATACTCTAGTCAGAAAAAAATAATTAAAAAAACACGATGAAGGATGAAGGAAGGGGTTTTTGTGTAAACAAAGCAGAACTAAAATGTGACTAGTTTGCAAATCAAGAGCTGGAAAAATTACACTTTTCGATCGCATACATAAACGGTAGCAGTTTCCTAAGATGCATGATAATTCAGTCCGAGTAATCATAATATTAAAGCTACCTTTATGAGAACAGTATAAGTCACTATTAGTGGATAAAAGCCATCTCGCAACATCATGGAGATCAATGCGCAAGCAGATCTGTAACATCCTAGAATGCTACAACAATCAATCATTATATGATAAGTCGCAGCATCTGCCGGGAAACCAAATACCTTCATATTTTTAAATATCTTAATTGCCATTTGACTCTGCATGTAATCATCAGAAACAGAAAAGTAGATGAACACTGGTCCAATTCCACATATCATGAAGTTGCAAATGAAAGGAAAACCAATGGTGATGAAAGCACCTACTTCCTTAGCCTCAACTAGTGAATGCAGCACTGTATTATAAATAGGCGTTCCCAGATAAATGTTATTACGACAAAATATATTCTCTGCCACGTCCAAATACTGGATCAGCTCTCTTATCATCCCCTCTGCTCCAAGCGCTTTCAACTGGAAAAACAAAAATTGAATGTCATAGATGACGCTGGTGGGACAGGGGAAAAAGAAGGAAAAGAAAAGGAAAGAATGCTAGAGTAGGGTTCCAGATAAGGAAAAATAAAATAAAATAACGACAGCCCCCTTGGTGGCATGTTGCAGAAAGGAGGCAAGTACAAAGAACACAAGTTTTACTGTTTCCAAGCAAATAAGCTTCTAGAATACAACACAAAAGTTGTATATTGATCTCATATAATCAATATTTATGCAAAAATAACAAGTCATGAGTGAAACAACCTGCATGCGCACGAAACTTTTTAAACACTAATTTATCTTCCTTCTGTAGATGGTGTATGTTCTCCTTTTAAAACTTTTTCCAGAGACTTTGATGCGCAAGCTCAAGGAAAGAACTACAGATACCAGGCCTAAGAGGCATGGAAACAATATCCTCGAAAAAGTAATGATGCATATAACGTACGTCTTTAAATAATTGGCATTAGTGTTGTATGTACACAGCTACAATTTTTTAAATTCTATCACAGTATCCGTTGTTCCCTTTCTCCTTAGCCACAAGCGGAACTAACAGCCACAATAGGTGAAGGATGAAGTCCGTATAGAAATTTTTAATTAAAAAAGTGTATATCATGCTCCTTATACCTTCATTTTGAATGAAGAATCTGTATTATCTTACCTACACTATTTAATAAACCATGTAAAATATGCAAAATTTTCTCCAGTCACCTATCAGACCATAAATTTTCTAACTGTGCAGTCCAGTTATCAGATGCTGATATTCTTAAGATTTCCATGTACAAAACTATGCACCATGTTTCATGCAGTGTTTCCATATATAAACATCATAACCACTAAAACATCTTAACCATAGCAGAGACTAAGGAACCAGTGTAAAAAATAAAAAATAAAATCGATAATTAAAAAAAAGATAAAAAGATAAAAAGAAAGAGGATACTAACAAATGCTTATGTTGTACAGTGGAAGCAGAAGACAAATTCTATACTGTCTCCCACCATATACATACCAATGACCCTTGTCAATCAGAGGCAGGAATATGCCACCTATCAATACTCATTTCATTCTCTAAACTAAAAGGAAGTATACATGAGGGTAGGGGGTTACCAAGTTCTTCATTGATAAATAACTGTGCTGAATACCATATCTTGCCATATCCATTTATATAGCATTAATGCGCTTAGCAGCATCCACCTGTGACAACATGTTGCCCTCTTCGTATGGGGCATTCACGTTACTAAATAACGAAAACAGCAGCTCATATGTCCTAATATCAGGCATAACTTTTAATTGTTTCATTTTAGCCAACATCTGCACTGCTCGTTCAGGTTGATCCTGCATAATTCATGCAACAATATTTGAATTTACTGGAGACAAACATGAAAAAGCTTTCAAGTGCTGGAAAATTACAACTGAGCATAAAACAGATGAAACTTTCATAAGATGACGAAAATAAGAAAACAGAAAAACATATCCTAATCAGTGTTTTAAATCGCTAAAGCGTTAGTGAAAAAATAGCATGATACTCACAAGTAAATAGTATAATATTTATTTGTTACTTATTAAATACTCATATATATAAAACATAGTGTATAGCAGATTAACTAAATTAAATACGTAATCTATTATTAAAAAGAAGGCTTTAAAGGGTCTTTGAAAGACCTGTGCCTTGAAAAGAACTTTGAATATGTAATTTGTTCTTTGTAATCTATTAAATATGTAGATTAAATAGTTAATTAATTTTGTTATTTATTTCATGGTAAAGTTGTTGGAAGTTTAAAGGGTCTTTGAAAGACCCAAGCCTTTTTCCAACAGTTGCTTCGAAACGCCCTCTTTATGAAATTGAAGGACCCAATGTCTTCCTCTCCACTTCTGACCCAATTTCAAAGCTCCCATGGCTCTCTCTCTCCATGGCTCCCTTTCTATGGCTCTCTCTCCATGGCTCTCCCACTCCATCTTAAATTCGGTAAATGTGGTTCTAGCCACTATGTTGCTGGAGAAAACACTAGAAAATCACCTCAGAGAAGCCAAAAATGGTTTATTATTATTATTATTATTTTTATTATATATATATTTTTTTTTTAATGTTGGGTTTTCAAATCCCAGGCCAAACGACATCCTTTTTCTGAGCCATCTTCTTCCTAAAAGGCTTACGCCTCTAAGGGGATGCGTAAGCCTCGAAGAAAGGCGTACGCCTCAGTCCAAAAGCATACGCTTTTGGTCACTTAGCTGCGCCTCAAGGCAAATTCCGAGGCACGTTATTCAAAACATTGATCCTCGGTGATACTTCTATCACGCTGCCCTCTGCTACCATATATACCGAGTTTTGATATGCCCATGTTACATAATTCCTTTTATTAGAGCCAAAAATATTCATTACCTATGAGAACAAGAATGAAGAAGCATAACTCGAACGAAGCTCTTCCTAACATTTACAATATTGAAAACCATAACTAAATCTCTTAAATTAGCATCAAACTAACTCTACTCTTACTGTTATAAGATATTCAAAAAGTTCAGGGACCAGGATCTTTTCTTTTCTTTTGTATAGGGACCAGGGTCAGCACCCTACATCATAGACTACCTATTTCTGGTGGATTCTAATTCTATAAGTTTTAATTAACAAGGCCACATAAAATAAAATTTTCTGATATGAGAATTCAGTTCTATAAAATATGACTCACCACCGTGTCACATGCTGCAAGAAAAGCATTGAAAGGATGTGGATATGAACATTCAGATATTTGATCCAGCAGAGCCTCAGCGAAATCCAATTCTAGCACTTTGCTGCAACCTATAGAAAGGTTTGCCAGAGTAGAATCATACGGCTTCAAATTTCTCTGCTGCATAATTCTTAACTGCAGAAGGATAACAACGATGTTGCAAAAATCTCTAATTAAAAACAAAACCAAAATGCACAAAATACATTGCCAACAATTGCAAGATCAGTCTTTTTAAGATGATTGGCCTATGCAATAAACCGATATAACTTACAATTTCCATTCCACTACTGAAACCTTGCTCAGAAGTAACTGCTCTGACAAAGCCATCATATGTATGGCTTGACGGTTGCAACCCAAATATTTGCATCTAGACAAAAATGGGCTCCTTCAGTATGTCATAAGATGATATCTGAACGAGGTACATACAAAATAAATAAATAAATAAGGGCAGGATAGAGAATCACATAACTAAAACAAAAGTTGAAATCCACAAAGAAAATAGCCATCACAATCAAAACATACAGAACTAAACTTTTGAAGCTTATAACTACATTGTTCTCCAAACAAGAATATCATATTTAGCATTTTTTTCCAGAAAAAAATAAAGAAGGAATATCATATTCAGTGAAGGTACCATATGTAAGATTTGCACATAAAAAGGAAAATTCCAGACATTGTAATATATTACACAAACCAACACAAGCTTCTATAGAAAGGTTATTATACCTGTAGGATCAACTGTTCTGCCAAGCCAACATTTCTTACTCGTGCACAAGCATGAATAACATCACTAAACGACCATCTCAAAATTTTCATAACAGGCTGGCTTATATGTATATCAAGCATATCCATTCGAACATTTTCAACATCTCCAACTCCCAAGCCAAAAGCAGTGCACTGATCTGCATTAACAGCATGGTCGTCCAAATTCTCACAGTATATGGAAGGAACAGAATGTTTATTCTCCTCCAAATCACGTTTCTTCAAGTCTAATTCAAAGATTGAAGGTATAGGAATGTCTAGTCTTGACGAATACAACTTTCCTTCAGAAGTTTTATGAACATAAGTGTTTCCCCTGATGGCCAAAGTCACCAGATATTGCAACTTCTCATACGCAGATTTTAAATCTCCCAATCTAGTAAAAGACCAAATAAACTTCCGTAGAGGAATAATGCTCAGACTGTAGTGTTTGATATAATCCTTCCAAATTTCATGGGCCGCAGGCAGGTTTTGCTGCCAAACTGCAAGCTGAAAGAAATGAAAATGCAGAGTAACTATCAATGACCCAAATAACTTTAGAATAGATTGGTGCACTATCAATATTTCACAAAATGCAAGGTAAAAGTGAACTGCAAGGAAAACTGTTCACATCACCATATGGACATTGCAAATATTCAAGAGAGCAGCACATCATCATCAACAAAGAGAAAAATGTCAATCAAACAGGATAGTTCCAGACCTACTTTTGATTGAAAAGTTTAATGCTACAGTTGGGGCTTCACTTAGAAATTAAAACTGATCCTTTTATCCCCTTACAAGCACATTGAAGCAGTACAACACAAATGATTTGAAGCCATGAATGGGGAGATTAATAGTAATCTAAATACATTACATGAGTCACCCATACCAATTCTCATGTTAGAAAAAATAAAACTGCTGTTAAAGTGATGAGTCAAAGGCTTTGTGCTTGAAAAGAGGAACAAAATAATATTTGAACAAATACAAAACCATTTTGCTTTACATACCTTGAGAAGCTCTGAATATGTAACTTCATTCTTCCCCACCATTTGATGCTCCATCAAGTCCAAACACTGATTGGCATTTTTTATACTCTGCATTTTGGCACAAGCCCTTAAGAAACTGTTGTAGATAGGTAGAACCGGATAGATGCCAGGACTTTCTCCAAGGAAATTTATCAACTTAAATGCCTGATCAAAGAACAACACATGTGGACACAAGAATATGAAAATATTAACAACAACTGACAAAGAATGATGGTAAATATATGGTTGCATCTTAATGGTGGTTCTGATAACTACAGTAATCCTAACAAGGTAGTTTTACTACTACCAGCTGACTAAGCTAGCTAGATAATACCTTTTAAGTATATAGCATGAACCCTACCTCCTCCAAATATCCTCCTTTACATAGAGCTTGCACCGTAAGCAAAGAGCATATGTTATTCAGGCTAATCTCTTTTTCATCCATTATTCTCCAAGTCTTCATGACAAACTGCATGAAAAGGAAACAACTGCCAAATAAAATACACTTAGACTCTGAGACTAGGTACCTATAAAAAGCAACTATTGACATGCAGAAAAATTGTAGGATACCATCCTTACCTTCGCAATGGCATTTTCGAAAGTTATTTAAGTCAAATAAAATTGGCAATGTGATCCTACCGATATAAACATGTTCATTGCGCAGAAAGTGTCTATATACAGTTTGCTAGGTTTTCCTTTGACACTCTTCACAGTACCATAATCAGGCACAAATATCAACAACTCAAATGCACTAACTCTCATTATCTCTGATAACACACATGTGAACTCAATCCTATGTATGTCAAACATATAGGTTAAATGGTGTGATTAAACACTAATAAAACAAATCAACGCACACACAGTGTGTGTCTCAACTAATTGCATGTTCCTCAGGTTACCAATGGATCAGGTGACTTTGCACAGTAATTAAGAATATAGACGAAATCATCAGCTCTTAACGAATCATTCCCACGGCCAAGATTCAAAAGCAGATTGGAAGCTTTGCCTCTCTCACCCAAGCGCAGTGCATCAACAGTTTGCATCCGTATGGACCTGGTAATTGATTCTGCGCTGTGCCAAGAAACTTCATGACCTGCATTTATCATCTTCCACTCAAACTAACTAAAGGTTTACTGTAAAAACATAAAGTAAATGGTCTGCACATTTATCTTACTTCAAGATATAACCAGGGCAAAGAAAACGAGAAGAACAACCCTACGCATATTATAAAACATGCATATTTACTAATCTAGGTACCCCGCACAAGTTGAAGTTTCAAACATTACCATTTGAGGTTGTAAGAGTTCAAGAATACTCCAATTTGTCAGGAGCAATTCTTCGTCCCTGTAAAAACAACACTGATAATTAGGGACGTTGAGGATATAGAATATGTGCCCGAAGAAGGGATTGGAAACCTCACATTACTCCAAGTGCTCTCAATTAAAAATTGCCCTAATTTGGTATCAGCACCAGATCAAGGGATGGGTCGCCTCATCTCCTAACAGAGACTGCATATTTCAAATTGTCCTAAATTGGCGTCACTACCAGCAGGGCTTCGTTGCCTCAGCTCCTTACAGGAACTGCAAATTTGGGATTGCCCGAAATTGGCGTCACTACCAGAAGGGATGGGCAACCTCAAATCACTTCAGCTGCTTCAGATATGGGATTGCCCTAATTTGGCATCACTCCCGGAAGGGCTTCGTTGCCTCGCCTCATTAGAAAGGTTGATAATTGGGCATTGCCCCATCTTAAAGCAAAGATGCCAGGAAGAAACAGGTGAGGACTGGTCCAAAATTGCTCACATCTCCCGAGCTATTCATACTCTGGTGCGTTTTTCTAACTAATTTATTTCTTTTGCATTGACACTTTCATTCAAATTGCAACCAACCTCAGCTTGTTCGTTTTCTTCTTTTTCAGAAGAACATGAATACTATTCTTATTAAGGGTTGGGTCAGTGGAGATTGGGTCCCCACGAAAAACTCTCATGGCTTGATTGTGATTGTGCAACAGCAGGTCACCAAGAAATGGGCTATCGAAGAATTTCTATAGCTTATCTATTCAACTTGAAATGAAGTGCATTCATATATTACAAATACTCTAGTCAGAAAATAATAATAATAATAAAAAAGCACGAAAAAGGATGAAGGAAGGGATTTTTATGTAAACAAAGCTGAACTAAAATGACTAGTTTGCACATCAAGAGTTGAAAAAATTACACTTTTCGATCACATACACAAATGGTAGCAGTTTCCTAAGATGCATGATAATTCAGACTGAGTAATCATAATATTAAAGCCATCTCGCAACATCATGAAGATCAATGCGCAAGCAGATCTGTAACATCCTAGAATGCTACAACAATCAATCATTATATGATAAGTCACAGCATCTGCCGGGAAACCAAATGACTTCATATTTTTAAATATTTTAATTGCCATTTGACTCTGCATGTAATCGGAAACAGAAAAGTAGATGAACACTGGTCCAATATTCCACATATCATGAAGTTGCAAATGAAAGGAAAACCAATGGTGATGAAAACACCTACTTCCTTAGCCTCAACAAGTGAATGCAGCACTGTATTATAAATAGGTGTTCCCAGATAAATGTTATTACTCTACCACGTCCAAATACTGGATCAGCTATCTTATCATCCCCACTAAAAAGCCATTGGCCAAACAGAAACAGAAGGCACAGCTAAGGAGGCTGGTGGGGTTTATTTTTTCTGCGTTTTTGTTTTCGACACAACTTCCAATAATCCAAATTATTCAACGCTTTGGTACTTTAACACTTTGGTTGATTAATCAGCAATCACCCACTAATAATTATTGAATAAATAATTGCAAAGTTGATAACTTTACCAACATGGAAACATCATTGTACGTTTGAATCTCTTCACTTTCTTTCATGGTTTTTGGCTTCTTATTATGCCATCTTCAGTTATAGGGATAAACATAATCTAGAGCTATAAATTTAGTTTTTTAAAATATTATTTTTAAAAAAAATAGTGTATGGTTAAATTTTTCTATCTTTAGTCAGGGCTATATTTTAGGACCCATCGTATTTTATTATTTTGAGAAAAACTATGGTACAACACTCATATATTCCACAACTATGTACTGTTTAATTTAATTAAACTACTATTTAGATACAATATTCCACTAGCCCCTTGACACATGCTCACGCATTTGGCAATTGGTTATTTTTATTTTTTTTTTGGAATTAAGAAAAGATAACATGGGTAGTTATGTTTTATAAAAGTAGGACCATGCTATTCTCTGGTCCCTACCTGCAACCCACATTGGTTTTGGGCATTTTGGCGTAAGTGCAAAGTAATAATAGTTCTTTTCTTTTTTTATTTATTTATTTTTGGTTAGAAAAGTAATTTTACATTTTGTTTTTCTATGAACATGCACTCAAAAACAAAAAAGTTGTATATTTTCCAATTTCTTTTGTTGTGGTGCACTTTATCATTATTTCAAGTCTCACTTAATTAGTTTCCGCTACTTGATATCTTCTGGTTACTTCCCCACTATTATCAAACATGGGAAAGGAATATTTCATTCCCATCCATTGGGAAATGACATGGGAAGTGATTTTCCCTCAAATCCGTTATGTGAACCAAACGAGGCCTTAAATACACCATGTTCTTAAAGTGTAATGGAGGAAAAATCATTGCATTAATTGTCTATGAAGATGACATGGTCATAATTGGAAACGATGCAGGAGAGCAATATAAGATACAAAAGTATTTGTCTCAGGAATTTGAGATGAAGGATTTAAGTTCTCTGAAATACTTCCTTTAGAATTAAAGTAGCAAGGTCAAAGACTGGTATTTTCCTATCACAAAGTATGTGTGTGATGGATCTACTCACTGAAACATGAATGTTTGGATGTAAGCTTGTCGACACACCCATTGAAATGAATCACAAGTTGTGTGAAGACATGGACACTTGACAACCAACAAGGAACAATACCAGTGCCTTGTTGGAAAGTTGATATATTTGGCATACACAAGACCAATTGTATATGTTATGAGTGTGGTTAGTCAGTTTATGCATTCGTCCAGTGTTTCTCATAAGAATGCAGTTGATCAGATATTAAGGTACTTGAAGTCAACCCTGGGAAGAGATTAATATTCCCAAAGAATGGAAATCTCGAAGTTGTTGGATATACAGATGCTGATTGGGCTGATTCCATTATAGATAGTCGTTCTACATCGGGTTACTTTACATTCGTTGGAGATAACCTAGTCACTTGGCGGAGTTTAAAAAATAAAATATGGTTGCTCGCTCTAGTGTAGAAGCAGAGTATCGATGTACAGTTCAAGGAGTTTGTGAATTATTGTTGAAACGACTTGACCCAAATTCCTTTCCAGTCAAAAAGTCAACTTTTAAACCATTAAAATATTCTAGGGATATAGTGGTCTTTTATTGGAATAAATTAATAATTAAATATAATTAAGGACCGGGTTGTTACAATCTACCCCCCTTATAAAAATTTCGTCCTCGAAATTTACTTACCCTTCACTTGAGGGGGTGAGGGTACTGGGCCCACGATTGCTACTCGGGTTCTCAAGTCTGCTCTTTTAGTACTGCACTCACCACTTGCATCTCAATAACTGTATCTATAAGGCAATCAATAAAATCCAAAGGCCACACATTTATATCTGAATACCTGAGCTGGCTTAAGAAAATATAAAACTCATAAAAGGTATGATAAATAACTGAATTTCTGATAAATTTAAAACTCTGCTGCCATTAATATGATATTTAGCTAAAATTCTATTTTTCCTGTGAGTGTCCGACACTTGGCTAATGCTGGCACAAAAGACTAATTGCCCTTTTTAACTGAAATTAAATGAAATTCAAGTGCGACTTCTACCGAAAATTCGGCAGAGTCTCCCCTGTAAACTGAACATTTCCCAAAAACATTCTGCCTGTAAAACAAGTATATATTTTTAAATATATATCTATATCACAATGCCAACATGTATCGAATTATATCCAAAAGGAGTCAAGCATCGTAGCACTCAAGCCTCAGGTTGCAACAATTCAAATAAATCAATCTGCTTATAAGATTCATCTCAACTTTCAGATCAACAATAGTACTCTGGCAGTCTCAAACATTCTCTGACTCATGCATTCTTACTTATGCACGACTTATCAAATAGTAATTCTGCTGAAAAACACTAAATGTAAAACTCATCATGTTCTGTAATCCTAGCTGGACTCAGAAGACATCTGGTCAACCTGATCCGCAATTATGGCTCCCACGGTCCGGATAACTGTAAGACTCGTGGGGCAAAATATGCTAGAAATACTGGAACTGTTTAATACCATATCCAATAATAAAAGATGAAAGCCAACAACTTAAATAAAATAAAATAAAACAACTTAAAGCAGAGTGGATTAAAATAAAATAAAATAAACAAGTTCCGAATACCCTGTATCGAACTCACGTAAGGTTCATAAGGAAACATATACATATATATATATATATTTCCATATATTACTTGTAAAACAAAGGTGCTGCTTAAGAAAATAGTGATAACTGTATAAAATCCTCAATGTAGTTTAAAAGCATTTCAAAACTCAAATTCTCTCCACCTAGGTGTACCCCCATATCTGATCCGTCAATTCCTGATATCCGTAAATTCCTGGTATCCGTCAATTCCTGATATCCGTCAATTCCTCTGGCAGGTCTAGGTGACAAAAAGTCAACTCGAGCCGCAAACTAGCAGGACTCAGTGGACCGTAGTCAGCCTGATCCATGGCAGGTCTAGGTGACAAAAAGTCAACTCGAGCCGCAAACTGGCAGGACTCAGTGGACCGTAGTCAGCCTGATCCGCAAACTGGCAGGTCTCAGAGACAACCTCTCAATCCGAGCCGCATACTGGCACTACACGGTTCAGGCGTCCCCGAAACTCATGAGGCAAAATAACCAACTGTCTCAAGGCAACTGGGGGGTACCTTGTGGTGGGTTTGAAAATCATAATCTGTTATTTACATACACTTTCAATAAACTGATTCTCAACTGAACTTAAAATATATCTATATATATATATATAAACAAAAACATGTATAATATGTTTTTCATATGAAAATCTCAACAAATTTTTAAGGATGCACATGTGATGCTGTGTCTATAGGAAGTTAACCTAATGCTCTAATACCAATTGAAACGACTTGACCCAAATTCCTTTCCGGTCAAAAAGTCAACTTTTAAACCATTAAAATATTCTAGGGGTATAGTGGTCTTTTATTGGAATAAATTAATAATTAAATATTAATTAAGGACCGGGTTGTTACAATTGTGGATTAGAGACTCTGGACATAATTGTGTTTTAAACGGGAGAAGCCCAAGCAGTTACATTGTGACAACAAGTTAGCTATTAATATTGCTCACAATCCTGTTCACCATGATTGAACAAAACATGTTGAGGTGGATAAACATTTCATCAAAGAAAAAATTGAGAACAAGGTCATCTGCTTACTCTTTGTAAAATCAGAAGATCAGCTAGTGGATGTCTTGACAACGGTTGTCTTTGAACAAGTGTTTCATGACTCACTTATCAAGTTGGGCATTGGTGACGTGTATGCACCAACTTGAGGAGGAGTGTTGACGTGAGTTAACCTAACAAATCAAGGAGGTTTATTTTCTAAGTTAATTAAATGATTTATTTCCTTATTTTCATGTAGTTGACAATCCTTGTATAATTAGGACATATTCTCCTAATTAATTCCTGTAAATATTTCCTTGTAAAGCACACTTGTAAACTCATATATATACCTCCTTATGGAGAAGAATACAACTTAACATAAAGTATTCAAACCATATTCGTATTTTAGCAGAGTGCTCTTGTACTCGTATTCTTCTTCAATTAGTGAAAAATCCTAGCAACCTCGTGGACGTAGCTCAATTATGAGTGAACCTCGTAAAATTGTGATGATTGATTTGTGTTGTTTATTCTTTGGATTCCAGGTCTCGTTTGCCACCACAGTGTTTAAATATTTATTCTCAACTTAATTTGGCTACATGGAGGAACTTCAAAACAATGGATTAAGATAAAATTATAAGGCAGAGTTGTTTGTATGGACTATTGTAATTCATGTATGCCAAGATCTAGACAAGAAAAAAAGGAAGAAAACAAATTGATTTCAAATTATTCATCGCATGTAGTAATT